TACACGTCATGGAATAACTATCTGCTTTCCATTTCCCCCCAAAACGCCCATGACTGAATCCTTGGAACCTGTCACTATGTTGCATTGTACTATAAAAGAAATTTTGCAAATGGGATTAAACATGAGAGATTACCCAGCATTCTAGTGGGGGACAAATATAATTGCAGAAGCCTTAAAGGAAGAGGAAGACTAGAGCGAGATGGGGTGATGGCGGAGATGACTCGGGAGAGCTGCGGGGTATGAGCAGGACTCTGCTACCATGGCTGCCTTTCAAGAAGCCGGAAGGAGACCATGAGGCAGGGGCTGAGGGTGTCTTCCAGAGGCCAACAAGGACACACATACTCAGCCCAGAGCACAAGGCAGGGCCTGAATAGGCACATGAACTGCTTCTCCCCAAATTTCCTCCAGGAAGGCATGCAGCCCTCTGACCCCTTGGTTTCAGCCTGGTGAAACTCACTTCAGATAAACTGTGAGATCATAAATCTGTGTTGTTCCAAGTCACCGTTTGTGGTAATTTGTTATGGCAGGAGTAGAAAGGTAATGAAAAATAGGTAGAAAATAATGTTTTGCCCAAATAACAGAGCTTGTCAATCTTTGAGGATTCTCAGGAATTAATAAGCTCAGATCCATAAAGAGGCACGCAGGAGAAGCGGCAGATGTCCTCATCAGTTAGGTGCAACTTGATTGGCAGGCCAGGAATATTAAAACACAGACAGTACGCCGGCTCCCGTCTTGTCTCAGTGCCCTGCAGCACGGCTGCAGCAGACGACTAAGTACCTGGACACAGCAGAGTGTGGGAGAGACCCACTACATTAAAGGAAACCTCTACATACAACCTAATGAAGGGAGCCTTTCATTTCTTCTGAGAGCCCCAGCTGCATGCCTTACTGTCCCCAGAAACCATCCATCCATGATCAAACATGGCAGACCCAAGTCAAGTGATGAATCCTGGTCCACAATGTGTTTCCAGATTCTGGAAAGGCTACAGAGAATCCCGAGACCCATACATCTCAGGACCTAACACCTGGATTCCTCCCCTACTTGAGGCAATGCTCTAGGCAACCGCCCTGAGTTCAGTCAGCAAACATGGTGTGGGAGGAGCCCAGGTGCTCTGTAGGTGGACAGGCTTATCCTATCAGAATTACTGGCTTATCCAATCAGAATAGTCCTTCCTCTGTGCTATAGCAATTGGAGCAGGGATGAGTTTCTGATTCCATCAAGCCAAAGACAGGCAGCCCTGGGGTCTTTGCTGAATATCAGTGCTCAGGAGAGCAGCTAGCACAAATGAATATTTAATAAGTGAATATATAATGATAAATAAATGAAATGTTTAATAAATGATGCATGCTGTTACTTAATTGCACACAAATCAGACTTTGTCAATATATCCATTTATTTTGGTGATGGTTTATTTAACGTTCTCAGTTGCTAATTGTGAATAGGTTAGAGCAACTCACTTGTCTTTTGAGGGGAGGGAATGTTTCCTTGATAGAATGTGTGTGCCATCAGAGCAGGGAACACATTTTTATTGGTTCCCGCTGTATCTCCAGGGTCCTGTAGAATTCTTGGCACACCATAGGCACTTAGAAACTATTTGTGGAAAGAATGACTGGCACTCTCTTATTCCCAGCCTCAATAATATCACTTTTCCTGGATTTTATGACCAGTTTCCCTGGGTGTGTAGTTTGATTTCTGGGTCACTGACTTGGGAACCCTGAGTACAGCTATTAAAAAAAAATATTCTCCATGTGACTGAATAAGAAAGCTGCTTTGTCGAGTCTTTCTCTGCCAAGGAAGCCCTGGCAAGATGGGGGCAGGATTCAACCCCCGTGGACTAAATATATATGTGCACTCTGAGCTTAGTTGAGGCAGAGCCTCTGTTCATTCACCATTCACCAACCACTCCAAGAGAAGCTTCTTGTCTCAGAGTTCACAAAAAACATGCCAAAGTGACCACTGTACCATGAGGATTTGAAATCCATAATTATGACCAGTACCAGCCAGTAAGTACCTAGCACAGAAAATAGGCTAACATCCAAGTCCCTACCACCATGCTTATGAAGATTGACCATGTGGAAACCTGGAGCTCTAACTAACACCCTTGCAAATTAGTGATCCTTGCTCAATCATGTGTGTGTGTGTGTGTGTGTGTGTGTGTGTGTGTGTGTGTGTCCGAGTTCCAAGCACTTGAGCTTAACTGTCTTGTGATGCCACCTCTGAGCCCAGCACAGTAGCAAGCTTCCCCACAGACCCTGGGTTGCAAAGACCTGGGTCAGATCCGGCTTCCTTGGCTCTGTCCCCCTGGGAAAGCCACACACCTTACTGAGATGAAGTCTCCTCACCTGGAAGGCGAAGGTGATAACTGTGAGAACTTCCGAAACTCATTAGCGGAATTAAAGATGAAGGAGGAGTGAGTAGCCCTCAGGAGCTCTCAAAACTCTGAAATGTGTCCAGCGTTGAAAATTCCAGGACGTGGAGCTTCTATTTGACTAATGTCCCAAGAGTAGCGTTAGACCCACACCAGGTTCAGGTCAATCTTTGCTCACCTTCCTTTCAAATCACCTCCTCCAGGAACGCTCCTCTGGCCATCCACCTGGGCAGCACTGACCCTTGCCTCTCTGATGTCACATTCTGCCCACGTCACTTCCTGAAGCTCTTGGGAGGCTTTTGTGTGGTGAGAGACCATCTAGCTCAGTGGTTCCATCTCCCATTGCCCTTTGTGACCTCTCAGGTCCTCAGCGCCCCTCAGGGACTGAGGAAGGACTATTGTTAAGAAACCAGGGGTGACATCTCCAGGTTGCAAGCTCAACCTAATTGCAACCCAACATTACCCTGCCCCCTGCCCAGACCTCTCCCAACAACTGACAGAGATTCTCAGGGCATTGCCAAGCACAGATCTCCACGTGAAACCTGAACCCAATTATATGTGGCTGAAAAAGAAATTCAAGTTTTGCTGCAACTTTCATTTATCAAGTTTGGACTGTAATGCTTTAATGTACAACTGAGCAGAAAACTCACAGGAAAAGATACAAAAACGTCCCCCAGACACAGAGAAAGTGGTCAAGCTCACTGTCACTTCTGGGAATATTAAAACAACACTGAGGTCATATTTCTCACCTAACTAGCTGGCAAAATTGAGAACTATCCCAGCGCATTCCACAGGATAGGCTGTCAGGACCCATACCTGCACAGGTGGATGGCAAGGACGTGGCCAGACCCACCCCTGCTGGGGGAGAAGTGAGCTATGCTTAGCTGTACTTAATGCACTTAACTTTTGACTCATTGACCCCACTCCTCGAAATCCACCTGAAGATATACCTTGAAAATGACTGTGTACATGTTATTCTTCTTAGTGTTGCTTACACTTGTAAAACACCAGAAACAATAAAGGTGTCTATTAAGGGCACACCGGTTGAATGATGGCATATCTGCAAATCAAGGGCCCTGCAACTGTTAACAATACAGAATGCTGTGAACTAATTTGGAGTAATTTCCAGAATATACTGAGAAGTACACAAATAACAGAAAACCATACTATCCTCCACGTGAGAAAGAAGTGGGTCTGAGAAAAGGCACAGACATTAGCATTTGGTGAAAATAATTATAGGAAGGATAAACCAGAAAGCAAGAGATGGAAGGGCTGCAGGAGATTTGGAAGAAGTGCACTCCACCTCTTCTGCATGGTAGGCCAGAGGGGCCACGTCTCTCGGGCAGAGCTCACTCATGGAACTGCAGCAACATTTTATACATTTATAAATGAATGCATGAGTTTTAGAAACCAGAACGTGGGGGATTTTAAAATGGCATGTGAAGTGATCATCCCGCCTGTGTCACAGATGAAAACCAGCCACACAAAGGACAGGAGAAAAAGAGGCACCAGGCTGAGTAGCTTATCAACTGCATTTTTACTGTATCTAGGAATCCCTGTACAGCAATGTTGAAATAACTGACACTAGGATTGAACAAGTGAGTCTACAGGATGACATGATAGCCAGATTCCTCGTTTTCAGGAAAATAAATTACAAATAAGGGAGGCTAGAACAGAACTGGGACAGAAACAGAGGCATCAATTCAAATCATGTTTGTAAAGGTACACACACACATGGAGAGACTAGATAGACAGATTAGATAAGTGTATGATAAGTAGGTAGATAGAGAGATAGATAGACAGATGCTGATTAGAGAGATAGATAAAAAGTGAACAAGTAGATGGGTGGATGGGTGGATGGATGAATGGATAGATGGATGGAAAGTCTAGATGATAGATAGATAGATAGATAGATAGATAGATAGATAGATAGATAGATAATAAAAAGTGAATGAGTAGATGGTCGGATGGGTGGGTGGGTGGATGGATGGATGGATGGGTGGATGGGTGGATGGATGGATGGACAGTTGAATGGGGGGATGGATAAATGGGTAGATGGATGGAAAGTTTAGCTAGATGATAGATGATGGGTAGAGAGATGATAAAAAGTGAATGAGTACATGGATGGATGGATGGACAATTGGATGGATGGATGGATGAATGGATGGATGGATGGTTGGATGGGTGGATGGATGGATGGATAGATGGAAAGTTGAATGGGTGGATGGATAAATGGGTAGGTGGATAGAAAGTTTATCTAGATTAGAGAGAGAGAGAGAGAGAGAGAGAGAGAGAGAGAGAGAGAGAG